GCTCACCTGTTACCCCTGCCCAGCCCTGGCAGCAGCGCTCCCTGCTCACCTGTTACCCAGGAGGCAGGCACCACGTTCTGTTGTCCTCTGGGCATGGGCAGTTCTTCCAAGAGCTGTCCCACCCCTCCCGGGCCCCGCCAGCCGCTTTATCTTGCCATTCAACGCACATAAGAGCTGGAAGGGGCTGGTGATGAAACCTCCCGGCGCCCGTTCGCCAGCGATAGCGCGTCCTGCAGCTGCAACGCGACACCCGGGAAGGGGTGACTTTGGTCTCACCCGACACGCTCCAACAACCCCGGCTTTCTGCCTGCAGACCAAGCAGGAAGGAGGCCCACGTGAAAAGCCAGGGGAGGATCCACCTGAGGTTGGACCTTTGGCATCTCCTACAGGTGGAGCAATCTGCCTAAACCTGCCAGAGCTGCAGCCGGGGAGTGAAGGCCCCGGCTGGCAAACCAAGGAGAGGGATCTAATCCACCTGGGAGCAGCTTCATGACCCTGCTGCACTTTGGGGCATCATTTATAGAATCCAAGAGTGTGTATGTATATAACATTTTATATTCTTATCTATTTTTTTTGCTATTGGGAGTCTCCATTCTCACCCTTAGTGCTCAAAGAGAAAAAAAAGCTTCTTAAATCCTATAGGAAAAAGGGGCCTTTCCAGCCCCTTTGTGTCCACTGACACATTTTTAAATCCTCCCCTGAACTCGGGGCTGAGCTCGGTCCTGCCTGTGCTCCCTGCCATGCAAAGCCCCCCCAGACACCACCTCGATGCCCTGGCACTGCCTCACTGCTGCAAGGAGCAGAGAACAGGGCCACACAATAGCCTGGCATCACTGCCCCACTCACACACCCAGCCAGAAACACTCAAACCTGTTTCTGGGGAAACCGTTTGGGTTTTAATACTTTTGGAAAGGGACATTAAGGAATTGGAAATCAGTAACAAACCACTTGACAGAAGCAACCCCCGATCTAGGAGATAATACTCAGTGAGGCAGCTGTTTCAACAGGTTTTGCCAAAGCAATCAGGCCTCATAAATCTTACATTTCTTTAAAAAAAAATAAATCAAGAGGACTGCAGATATAATCTGACCATGTGTCTGGGTATCCATGAAGCTTCGGACTAAAGAATTTTCTTTAGAAGGTTTTCAGCAAATTAAGCTCTTGGGAAGTAACAGGGAAAGTTTTCTCACAGAGAAACAACTGGCTGACAACACAGGATGTTGAAGGCACCAATTCCCATGGTTTTGGAACAGGAGGAAGGCAACAGCAGAATCCCATTCAAATCTGCCTGTCCTGGACTATTCAATATATTTATAAGGGATCTGGAGAATCATAGAATCATTGATTCTGGAGAAGTGCCACACACAGATTAACTATAGATTCTGGAGAAGTGGTGCCTGCACTTACTGCAGCTCATGGTGAGTAACCAGCCTCTCCTGGCTGGCTCTGAGGGGCTGCAGCTGGAGAGCAGAAGGAACCCAGGGCCAACAACACACCCCATGGGTGCAGGGAAGGGGCCCCTGGGAGCCACGTCACGCTCCAAGTCAGCAGGTCTGAGTTACAAATTCCAGTGTCTGTGGATAATGCCCTGGAAGTCATTGCTCAACACTGGAGAACAGTCAACAAGGAAACAGCTTTTTAAAAAATCCCTTCAACTGAGAAGTAGGCAAGATTTACTGCTGTACAAATGCACCTTGAACATCACAGGTAGATCTGGTCACCTTCACCGTGGCACAGAAAGGAGGTGATGCCAGTAAGAGGAACCAGCTTCTGGGAAGCATGGCAGTATCCTGGGAAACACTGTGCCACCCCAACAGCCCTTAGGCCAAGATCAAAATCCGTGCTGTGACAGCAACCCTGCCAAGACTCACTTGCTGCCTGGAGTGACACCATTACCTTGGCACTGAGACCAGAAGGAAAACTAAAATAGTATCAGGGGATTTAAGTAAAAAGCCAAGTTTGATTCCCAAGCACTTCAGAGTATGGAAAAAAATAATCCAGGAAAAGCACATCTGTTACCTTTGATTGACAAACTGCTCAAGTCCAAACCACAGGAGATGAGAATGTGCTGCTCCCAGTGAGATTTCAACAACATCAACAGCACCACAGCAGGCATGAAAAACCACCACAGCCCCTCTGAATCACTGTGAAACAAGCCTGGAGCACCCAGAATATCCACATGTGGCTCCAGCTCTTAAAAGAGCTCCAGCCTTTGGGAAGTTGGTCCATTCTTGCAAATACCAGTTGGGAGCAAAGTTTCACAGTTAGTCTGGATCCCATGTGAAGATATTTCCAACACAACATCCTGTGTTCCAGGCAGCAGGCAAGGCTGGTGGGTCCCATCAGGGATGTGACACAGGACAAAAGTCCTGGCACTCAGTAGCTGGGGGCTTGTAAGGAGAGCCCAGAGGAGCTCTGGCTGCCAAAGGCACTCCAGGTTTACCAACCCATCAACAGGTGACCCTTCCTCCTCTGCTCACTTGGCAGTACCCAAAAGCTCCAGTTGTGGCTGTTTTTTTCACCTTGAGATGCCACCACTGCTGCAGGAGAGTCTGACAATCTTGAAGAAGGTGATAGGACAGAGCTGGGCTCTGCTTCCAAGTAGTGTCACCAACTCACCCCCAGTCAACAACACACCAGGAGCAACAGCAGTAGGTCCCAGCCAGAGGTTTGCAGCCAGTTGCACCAAAGGAGAACCTCAGCCACCACCTCTCTAGCTCCAGCCAGGCCTGTGCCACCATATCTTCAGGCTGTGTGCCTGGCACCTGAGACTTGCCAGCAAACATTTCCTGAAGTCAGCAGGGGAAAGCTGAGGAGTGAACTGAAACCAGCATTTGCACAAACAACTCTGCCCTTTTATCTTTCCTCTTTTACTTCTGTGTGAACCCCAAGGACTTCAGCACCCTGCTTTAGGGCAGCCCTATAGCCCCACCACCACCACTCCAGTCCTGCCAGGGGGTCAGATCCCCACTTTTTCCACAGAAGTAGCCACAGGCCTCCAAACACCCTGAGCAAGGATGGGAAAAGCCTATTTAAGCAAGGAGGGAAAGACCACTACAAAAGCACAATGATCCTTCCTCTGCTTCAGCCTGAAAGCAGCAAGAGGGGCCAAGCCAGGCAGAAAACAATCCCATATCCTTGTAGGATCTCCAGCAGCAGAAGGGCTGGTAGTTTTGGCTACAGACAGGTGACATTTGAAGAAGGCTGTCTGCAGTCACACTACCTAGAGCAGACCATATGAGGTCTCAGGCTATGCACAAGCACAGCACCAAACCCCTTCAGGCCATTACATGTTGAGATTCTCTGCACAACAAACAACATTTAAAATGATAGATAGAGGAGGGGAAAGAGGCCAGTGGGACCCACACAGAAAATATGAACATGAAATCCTACCAAAAGCCATGATGACAAACAAAGATGTGTGAGTATTACCTCCCATCTCCCTGTCGAGTGGCGGGTCATCATCTGCCATGGAGAAGTCCAGAGATGCTCCTGCTATTTCCAGCATATCTTCATCACTAGTGCTGCTCTGGAAGCTCCCCCGTCGATAGCCTTTCTGATCCATGGCCAGAGCTTCCAGACCTGGAGAAAAACAGGAAATTTTTTAGAGGACAAGTATGAAGACTCATTTTCTAAACCAACTGGAGTGACACCCACTTTGTCCTGAGGACCAAGAGGCTACACTTCTCTCCCCTGTGAAGGACAGAGGCAGCAGTACCACCTGAAGTTCAGGGTAGAAGAAGCAACTGCTGAGGACAAAACAGGCATCCACAACTCCAAGAAGAGCCCAAACACTCGAACCAGCCCCTGTCTCAGCTGCCCACAGCTCTGGTGCACTGTCCTGTGTCACAAACCACCACGGATCCTGCGTGGGGACAGCAGAGCTGCGTGGGAGGGGGGACTGGGATCATCTGAAAATGAAGTGCCACACAAAGCCCCCCAACTGGCAACAGGGCACAACTTAACTAACTCCTGGGACTACAGTCTCAAACACAAGAGCAGCCCAAATGCCTCAGATAATGTTTTCCTCTATAGAAAACCAACTACATTTACAGGTTCTTGGTCTAAAAAGCCTCTCAGGTTGCTTTTTGTCCTTCCCACAGACACTTGAATCAGTTTCTACCCACTGATCACTACCAGACAGAGCAACCAGAAATCAGCAGGTAAAAACCAACTTGGGTGAACACTACATCTGACAAGGCAAGTGACAGCCAGTGATGAGCACTGTGGAAAGCCAGTGACAGAGGATGGTTCCTCACAGCAGAAATGCAGCTGTGATCTCTCCAGATGTGCCAAGCTCACCTGCCTGCCCTGCTCCAAGATGTAGTGAAACCAGCAAAACAACCCAAGTGAACAATGATCCTTAACCACCAGCATGTGAAGCTGCAAAAGGCAAGCTTGAAGGTGCTACTAAACTTCATCAATAATCTTAATAAAGCACCCTTGAGCTGCTGCTGGACCTAGGCATCTCCAGATGGCCAGACCATGACACAGGACCCATCATCTCTCTTCCACTTCTCTAGGATGGCAGAAAAACTACAAAAGCATAAGCTAAATTGGAAAAAAAAAATGCAGGTCTCACTCTCAAAAATAGTTCTTGCAACCTGAAAGTGAGACTCTTTTCATCTCAATGAGAAGACAGGCCGTGTTCACTTCTCTTGCAAACACATTTTTCAGGAGAATTACAGAGGAACCAAATATGCAGCTCAGCCTTATTTCAGGAAGGGAAAAAGCCAGCCAGCACTTGCAAACAGTATGAATTACACACTCTGCAGAAAGCACTTCCTATTAGAAAAAAAGAGCCACCACACCAGACAAAAAAAGTCTTGGCGTGGTAGGCAGCGAGGCACTGGGCTCTGCTGACCCTCACTGTGAACACGGTGTTA